AAAGGCAGTCAGAATGTTGGGGAAGTACGTTTTAGAAAGAAACTTGATGGTAAGTGTTTACCCATGATATGATGGTCTTTATTTTTTATTATTATTATTATTATTATTATCAGTGATAGTGACTGGAAATTACAAAATTAAGTGTGCATGATTTTCTTTGCTTTTTTCTTGTTAAGTAAAATGTTAAGTACCATAATAAGATTTGTGAAAATCTATATAATACTTTCTTGTAACTGTTTCCATTACTATATTTTTGGAAGAGACTGATAATGGTAAAATTCTTGAATAGACTGAATGGAATTGGCACTCTTTATAACTTCAAAGACTTCAGTAGAAGTAGGTTTGGTATGGTTTAGTATGGTGTACTTGAAAAGAAGTTATTTAGTAATTTTAAGCATTTGTTGCCTTGAATTTAGTTTTATAATAACAACAGACTGAAGTCCCAGTCTTATGATCCAATTACATTATAACAATCTTTTTTGTGTAACATGTGGTCAGGTTTTTCATGCATCAGAAATATGTTAAACTCATGATTCATAATCATTAATAAATAATGGTGTGATAAGAGCCTAATAAGAATATAAGAATATGGAGTGGATGTCTTGGTGAGTATGAAATAAGTTACCCATTATTGTTGTGCACTGTGGCAGAGGGGGCACTGGACTCACCCAACAGACCAAAGGAGATTGGTCTCTCCAAGTAAGCCTGTGTGGAAATACCGATCTAATCCCCAGCCTGCTCTCTAGCAATCATATTTTTCTATACCCAAAGGATGTGTTGGTTGAGCTCTGGGCTTCCTTCACTTGGGGTTCTTTGTCTCAGAGATTACTGTGTGGAAAAGATAACCGTTAGGAATATATATCACATCACCTGCTGCTTGGAGTAAAGATATGTGAAGATAATTTCTTCATGAAGAAAGTCCATGTTTTGGGGTAAGATGTTGCTACCCAAGGCTCAACAAGTTTACATTTTACATTTTGCTGAGATTACAGTTCAGATGTTGAAAGACACATCCTCACATGAAATACACAGGAATGCATGGACATGTATTATACCTCTAGTACACTTTACAGTAATTAATAGGAATCTTTGTTAGAATTCATGAACCAGAAGTTCTGTATGTTAGGAATGTAGAATGAAGAACTTTCTTAGAGAATGTAACTAAGAAGCTTTTAAGAGAAAAGATAATTTATTTTGAGATGTATGGCAGTGGTAGCATCTGTTTTATGACCACTTCATATGATCCTCATCTTGTCATCTTTAAGGAGTTACGGGATATAGCAAATATCATGTCAAAAAATTCTATTTCTCTTCTGCAGATGTATTGTGGTTATTGTGAGTGTGACATGAATGTAAATTTTAGTAAGAATGTGGTGTGTATGAAGTGCAGATAAGATAAAGTATAAAAAAGAAACAGAGAACAATAAAGAAATTTTGTGATTTTTCAAAGTAAATTTAACCACTTTGAGATAATGTTTTATTCAAGATTTTGTTAAGAAAAATATCAGTTAACGTGATATATGTACAAGAAGAACTGTAAGACAATCAAAATCTCGGCTTACATAGGACTGCTTGATTCATTTCATTTAAATGAAGCTTGTAATTATTTTTTGTTCTTATTCACAGATTGACCAAGTGTTGGTTATTGCAGGGGTTCATAGCGAGAGATTTGATCACATTATGGCCAATTTGGCCACACTTTTTAAGGTATGCTTTTAGCTTGTAAGAAAAAAGTATAGGAAGGTTTTGTGTTATTTTTGGCCTTGTTTTTTGGTTCTCTAAATAAATACACAAAAAATCAAAAGTCATAGAATAGGCTTTAGGTATTTTAAAACATTGTGAACTAAAGTTGTGTTTAGACATGGTATTGAATCATTTTTCTTATTGTTTTCAAAATCTGAATAATTTTTTGCTAGTTTAAAATATCTATTATTTCAAATGTTCTCATGGTTTAACACAAAAATTTTGTGCAGTCATTAGCATTATACATTAGTGCATTGTAAGTGTTTGAAATATTCAAGTTTGAAATATATCTTTGCTCTTTTGAAACAATTGATTCAGGTATTTAATACGATAGACTAGGTCTGTAATACAAAAAAAGACATTGGCACTGGATATGTTCTTTGAACAAAATTTCAGGTGGACAAGTTGATTCCTGTGCCAGTCATCATGTTGTGTAAAGGAAGCCTGATATGGCTTCTGAGTCCTGGCGACCACAGAATAGAGGTTCCGAAGGATGTGACTCTGAACTCACAGAGAGCATGGTGTGGCCTAATACCCCTTGGCCATCCAACTATTGTCACAACTTCGGGTTTGAAGTGGAATCTGGGTAAGGTCATGCATGTGTCTTACACTTTGGGAATGGATTATGTTACCTTGTTTGAATAATAGTGTTATCTAAATAATGTTGTTACATAAAAGCTTGTTAATATTCTGTGGGTTCAATATATTAAGGTTTTAAGAAATGTTAGTTACATTTTGTATATATAAGTACTGAGAATATCTGGAATAAATAGAATAATTATGTGAAATGTAAAAAATGTATGTTAGTTATAGAAATATTTATGATGAAAATAGGTATACTTAGGAATTTGTAGATAAAAATTTACTTGATATATAATTGTTTTGATGTTATATGCCCCCCCAATCCCTTGCCCGTTGTTGTCGTGGGGGGGCTTAGGAGGCGGAGACTGGGACCCAATGATGGGGAACTCCCCATCCTTGGGACTCAGCCCTCAACTCAACTAATTTTGCATGGTCTTTTTTTTTTTTCCCCTTCCCACTTTTCGTTTCTGTCCCTTCACCAAACCCTTCTGCTATCCACCTCCTTAGGTATGAGAGCCGTGCTGAAAGGATGAAAGGCTGACTTTGTGCCAGTCCCGAACGGCCTGAGGGAGCCATGGACACAGTATTCCCCTGATTTAGTTACCTAGCCCTTACCCCTCAAGGGGACCCTGAGGGGTGGACTGTTTTTATCCCCAACATAATCCAGGCTTACCATGGCCAGTAATGAAAACATATCCCCCACTATTAGGGGCAATGAGGCTTGCCCCTTTATCAAATAGCCCCAACGAAGTAAACCCACCCGATTCCCTGACCCCAGGCTCTCCTTTGACCACGGCTCCGAACACTGCAATAACTACCCCCTCATCAATACCTACTAGTACTGTAGCCAACAATCAACCCTCAAGGAACATTACCACTCTCCCAGCATGCTCAACTTCAACACCTCTATCCCCACAACCTCCAACATCAACCACCCCATCCTCCCTTATTAATACCTTACAGCCTTATAGCCCACCTCTCCATAACACTACCTCCCTCAACACTACTCCATCTTCGTCATGCCCCCGCCCTTCTACTACCCCTATCTCTACAACAATCTTGAATACTCTCTTTAGCGCAGCCAAATGGGACAGATTTTTCGTGATCCCTATCACAGCTCCCTACTCTGATAACACCCTTCTCTTCCAACAATGTCTCCAAAAACAAGTAGGTAAAGTCTCTTTCCGTAGCCGACCCGACCGCTCCCGTCTTGTCACAGTAACATGTGAAAAACAAGCTATAGCATTAACAGAACTAACTGACCTATATGGTAACCCCATCCTTGCAGAACCCCATCCAACCCTCAATACTTGCACCGGAACAGTTTCAATCTCCCCAGCAAATTGCCCAATCTATGACAAAGATTGGTCAGATTGTGGAGAAGACCTACTTACCTGTCTCACAGACTATGATGCAACATCAGTACAATGCTACTCCATTCCCTCCAGAGGTCATCGAAAGAAACCCACTAACATAGCCAAAATTACCTTCCGTAGACATGACCTTCCCTTTAACGTCTACATAGGAGGAGAATCCCTCCCTGTTCGTCCATACCAACCTCCTCCACATCAGTGCCAAAATTGTTGGCGTCTAGGACACCCAGCCAAACATTGCCGTTCCACAGCCAGATGCCCATTATGTGCCCAACCTGGCCATACCCTTATCTAACTGCTCTGCAGTTAGATAAGGGTTTCTCTCTTACTCCTTACTCCAGTAACACTGCTCATTCTACCACTTCTCCTAAACCCACCCCTCCTACATCTAACTCCCCCACTTCTACCTCCTACCTTCCCAAGTCAAACTCTTTTGCCATCCTAAATCCAGACACTCCAATCTCTACTACAGATACTCCAATCACCACTACAACCCCAACATCTTCCCCTCTCCTTCCTCGCACTACCCGTAACAGACAGAACAAACGTTCCACCCCCTCTTCCCCTACCACACAATCACCTCCACCATCCTTTGCCCCTACTCTTGAGACACCAGTCCTCTCTTCCCCCCCCTCACAAGAAATCCTTTATCCCCCAAAACTCCCCAACCAACTCCTCAGAAGAAACTATTGAAAATATTCAAGATTACTTAATGAAAACTGACACTCAGCCTACAACTCCTGCTCCTTCCACACTCCAAGTAACTGCTGATATCCATCCTCCTCCTAACGATATCCCCCCTACACCCTATCCTCCTACCCCCTCCCTACACAGCCCAAGACCCTAACCCCACCCACATTAACCCTCCCACCATCCCCTCTATCCCTTCCACTCCCTCCTGGATACACACGCGAATCCCTTATGTCACAAGTATCCCCTTCCTCAGACCCTCCATCTCCTAATACCCCTCCTGATAGAACACCAACTCCCACACCTCTCCCATCTCAAACCTCTCAGTCCTTATCCCACCCTCTAGATGTTTCCCCCTCAAATTCTCCAACACGTACTACAGTCTATATCACTAAATCAAAGAAAGTATAACTATCCTTCTTTGGAATATTCGCGGTTTCCGCTCCCACAGACCTGACCTTCGTCATATTCTTTCCTCTTATAACCCATCTATTGTATGCCTTCAAGAAACCTTTCTTACACATCCTCCAATACCAATCCCCAATTATCATTTTATCTCTTCCCCACATTCCCTTTATGTCTCGTCCATACTTATCAATCAGAAAACACCTTATGTCACACCTCCCTTTCAAACCAATGTCCCTTGCACAGTTATTCGTATCTTCCTTCATCGTTGGATCACAGTGATTTCAGTCTACTTCTCCCCTTCCCACCCCATTGACTTTGTTGCTTTTGAAAATCTAATTTCCCAACTTCAACCACCTTTCCTCATAGTTGGCGACTTTAACTGCTGCCACACTCTTTGGGGTGATTCTATTACCAACTCCCGAGGCTGATCTCTAGAGCGCTTCCTCTCCACAGCTGACCTTAATATTCTAAGTTCAGATCGCCCCACACACTTTGATACACGCACGCAATCTTTTTCATGCATTGACCTCTCTCTATGCTCCCCTTCTCTTCATTTAGATTTCCACTGGTCAGTCTTAGACCACTTTCCGTATAGTGACCACTTTCCAGTTCTCCTTTCTCCTACTTCATACGCACCACTTCCTAACTCCCCACGCTGGTGCTTTGATAGAGCCAACTGGCATACTTTCACTTCACTCTCTGCTATTCATACCCCTCCATCCTCCCTCACCTCCATTTCAGAAATGATACAGTGTTTCACAACTACAGTCTTAAGAGCTGCACATACAGCTATCCCTCGAACCTCAAGACCATATACCTCTAAATGTGTTCCATGGTGGAATTCTGATTGCACTAAAGCACTTCGCTTAAAACGTGCAGCCTGGAACAGTTACCGCTACAAGAGAGGTACTCCTAAACCAACTATCAGCCCTTATTTCCTTTAAAAGAGCATCTGCCTGTCTTCGTCGTACAATCCGGAATAGTAAAACAAATAGCTGGCGAAATTATGTTTCATCAATTACATCCTCTACGTCTATCTCAAATGTTTGGCGCCGAATCCATAAACTATCAGGCAAACATCCCCCCCATCCTGCCCCCTTCCTCCATATTCGAGATACCCTCATTTCTGATCCTCTCCAAGTTGCTAATGAACTGGGTGATTATTTCAGCCAGGTCAGTAGTGGTTCTCACCTTTCTCCACACTTCTCTTCTATCAAGACCACCAGAGAACGTACCCCCATTACCTTCACCCCATCCTCCGCTGAGTCCTATAATGCTCCATTTTCTTCCTCTGAACTCATTGCTGCCCTACAATCATGCCGCAACACTCATGAAGGCCCTGACGGTATTCACTACCGTATGCTCCCATCTTCCTCCTTATCCTTCCTGTTAAAAATTTACAACCACATATGGACATCAGGAAATTTTCCTTCTAATTGGCGAGAAGCTCTTATCCTTCCCTTCCTGAAACCCAATAAATCGGGTACTCTCCCTCAAGACTATCGCCCCATCGCACTAACTAGCTGCTTGTGCAAACTATTAGAGCGAATGGTGAACTTCCGCTTAATGTGGTATCTTGAATCTCACAATCTTCTCTCTCCTTCCCAATTCGGTTTTCGCTGTGCCAGAAGCACAGCTGACCCCCTTGCTCATTTTGAGGCATATATTACATCCGCATTTGCACGCCATGAATTCGTACTAGCTATATTTTTTGATCTAGAAATAGCATATGATACGACATGGCGGTACCATATTCTCCAACAATTGTCCTCTCTAGGCATACGTGGAAACATGGGTGTCTCCATAAAGTCTTTCCTCACCCAATGCACTTTTCAGGTCAAAATTGCTTCTGCCACATCATCTTTCTTTCCTCAAATCGAAGGTCTCCCACAAGGCAGTGTGCTCAGTACTACTTTATTCCTTCTTGCTGTTAATGATATTGTCTCAGTTTTACCACCAGGAGCCCGGTCATCACTATATGTTGATGATTTAAACATCTATGCCTCTGGCACATCCATACCAAATCTCTACCAATTTCTTCAATCTGCAATCTCATCAGTATTTTCCTGGGCCACAAACCATGGCTTCCGCTTTTATACCTCTAAATCTTTCTCCATCCTTTTCTCTCGCTCACGTGTAGGTCCCCTACCCCCACTCTTCTTATATGGCACTCCACTCCAATGCCGTTCCTCTGGCAAATTCCTAGGCGTCTTTTTTGACTCCAAACTGACCTGGCGAGACCATATTCTACACATTAAAGAAAAAGCTCTCCGCTGCCTTCGAATTTTAAAAACTCTATCCCATATATCATGGGGCTCAGATCGCAAAATTATTCTTCATCTTCATGTTACTTTGATCCTCTCCACTCTTGATTATGGATGCCATATCTACTCCTCTGCTTTCCCCCACCTGTCCTCCCTTCACCGATCTCCCAACCTATCAGACCTCCTTACAGAATCCCACACTTTCTGCATCAACAACCTGTTCTCTTTTCTCAAACGCATATATATCCTTCATCTAATCTAACACCCGACCTTAACCCTTTCACTCACCAATTCCTTTGCCCAGCTTAGACAACTAATCACTAACTCAACCACCCTTCACTAACATTAACTATAGTGCTACATGACCTTAGATGTCTAGCACATTTATCTTGCTTTTAACCATTAACCATTAACCATTGATGTTATATGAGTCAGATGAA